ATTCAACGCGTTCTTCAGCAGCATTCCCCCCCCCCCTCCTCCTCGGCATTCGAGCGCTGCAGAGACTACTATGGAAAGCGAAGAACTTGTTTGCATTGCTTCTACGTTGCTATAATGCGGGTTCACAATTTGAGGTTTTCAATGTTCCAAGCGATTTGACTCATATATGGGACTATCAAGGTCCGGGACTACGATGCTCGAAAATTCTCATCAGTTTGGTGAGATACTGCCTCAAACGGAAAAATGGTGACTACGAGTATAGTAGTACTGAACAAAAAGTTTTGATCAAATAATTTTCATATAACGTTCGCTTCCGCACATTTCTGCTCCATCTGAGGGCACGAAAGACTTTGCGAAGAAAACTACTCGGACCGCTTCAAATTTTCAAAATTGCTCCATCCCCCCCCCCACCCATTTGAATCGTTCATGACTCCTTGACGTAAGGCTTTCTGTGGATTAGAAAAAGCATTGTCAACAACGTAATATAACACTAGTTCATTGTAAACTAGGCCGCAGCAGTCAACAGAGGCAAGAAGAAAGTTCCATTTATAGCAATTTCGGAAAGGAAACTTACTTTACAGTGGTAACAAAAGAGTGTTCCACAAGAAGCTCTCTCACATTTCAGCTGAGGACATGCAGCACAGGATGTTGCAATGACGGCATACCTGAACTCCCAGATTGCTACAGACAGCATGTATAACTCTGCTTGGGAATGCACCAGTATGATATGAAAGGCGGATTTGGAATCAGCATTGGTATATGTAATTTCAGTATATGCTGACCGCATAGATGAACGACTTTGTCTCACTAATCTAGCTCTAGTTTTACGAAAAAAAATCACAAAGATTGAAGCCCTAACTGCCAGTGTTAACAAATACGGATACAGGCAGCAGACCTTTGGTTGCTCCTGCACCACCACCGGAGCTCATAGCTTTCACCATATTATCGAGATGAAGATAAATTTTACCCGCAATCTGGAGCAGGACACCAACGCGCGTCTGGCTCTGTCATGAGATATCGGCGCACACTGAATTGCTCATACTTTTCAATCAAATCCGTTCGTCCACCTGCTAGAGCTCTGCAAATCATTAAAGCTTGCGGGCAGTCTAGTCCACACAAAACTAATAATGTTTCCACCACCAACTTGATATCTAGAGGATGGAGATGTGCAGCGCACTCTGGACAAGATACTTCGACACGATTCTCCATTATCTCCATTTCGACATACTGACAAAAAAGTAAGCATAGTCGTGATAAGAATGTGATGATAACTACCTGCATTAGACACAGACGACAACTTCTGTGCTGGCAGCAAATTAGGCGCGGAAAGTTGCTGGAAGGTTGCCGCATACAACAGAGAGGACACTCAAGTATTTTGCTGCCTCGCACTTGCTTCTTGAATGAAAGGATAAGGCAATGGTCACAAAATCAATCGCGGAGATCAATCGGTACAATGAGAATACGCTGCTAAAATTCCGTGGTACTAACCTTCTTATTTGACATATCCACTCTCTCTGCGGCCTGCACACGGCTATCACTAAGTGGGAGTGCACCACGACCACCAGTATCATCGTCTTGACAAAGATTCACGTCAATACTGAGATTTCTGAAAACTGACGTTTCGAAATGAACATCTGCGCACATTGCATGTGCCAGTTGTGTAACAAAACAGCACAGATAGAAAAGATCAAACAGGGTGCAAAAAAGCCCCAATAACCGATAATGTGCGTCTGAGAATGATGTTCAAAAACCAAGATGAGAATTGAGCTTCGCAATCAATTAGCTGACCTCCGATTTGTTCCAAGACTAGTACTTTCATTTGAGCGAAGATCGGTGCTGGATATACTGGACATCGCTTTGGAAGGTTCTTCATAAGACCACTCCGAGCGCTGTCTGGAAAAAAGTCGTTATCGAATCTCAGAACTAATAACGTCACACTTGTTTCTTTTTT